GCTTTAAATCTTTTTAGCAGCTGGTCTCTGAATTTCATATTATCTAATATCTCAGTAGTCATCCAGGGTTCAATTCTTCGTTTAATCCTAACCTCTTTAACTGGTGCAATATTATCAAGGATGGTAGTGAACATTGTTTTGAATTTTTCCCAGGCATTGGAGAGAGGGAGTATGGAAGAAGTGAATGTTTTCAGATATTTGGGAGTTGACTTGTCAGCAGATGGGATTAACCATAGAATTAATGAAGGAAGAAAGGTGAGTGTTGCGTTGAGGTATCTGTGCTTTTGGGAGATTCTAAAGAAAATTTGCAAAGGTTAGTGGACGAGTTTGGGAGGGTGTGTAAAGGTAGAAAGTTGAAAGTGAACATAGATAAGAGTAAGGTGATGAGGGTATCAAACAATTTAGATAAAGAAAAATTGGATAACACATTGGAGAGAGGGAGTATGGAAGAAGTGAATGTTTTCAGATATTTCGGAGTTGACTTGTCAGCGGATGGGATTAACCATAGAATTGATGAAGGAAGAAAGGTGAGTGGTGCGTTGAGGTATCTGTGGAGACAAAAAACGTTATCCATTGAGGTTAAGAAGGGAATGTACGAAAGTATAGTAGTACCAACACACTTATATGGGTGTGAAGCTTGGGTTGTAAATGCTGCAGTGAGGAGGTGGCTGGAGGCAGTGGAGATGTCCTGTCTAAGGGCAATGTGTGGTGTAAATATTATGCTGAAAATTCATAGTGTGGAAATTAGGAGGAGGTGTGGAGTTACTAAAAGTATTAGTCAGAGGGCTGAAGAGAGGTTGTTGAGGTGGTTTGGTCATTTAGAGAGAATGGGACAAAGTAAAATGACTTGGAGAGTGTATAAATCTGTAGGGGATGGACGGCAGGGTAGGGACCATCTTTGAAAAGGTTGGAAGGAGGTGGTAAAGGAGGTTTTGTGGGCGAGGGGCTTGGAATTCCAGCAAGTGTGCGTGAGTGTGTTAAATAGGCGTGAATGGAGAGAAATGGTTTTTGGGACCTGATGAGTTGTTGGGGTGTGAGCAGGGTAATTAATATTTTGTGAAGGGATTCAGGGAAACTGATTAGCCGGACTTGAGTCCTGGAAATGGGAAGTACAGTGCCTACACTTTAAAGGAAGAGTTTGGGATATTGGCAGTTTGGAGGGACATCTAAACTGTCATATCTGAGCACCTCTGCAAAGACAGTGATTATGTGAGTAATGGTGAAAGTGTTGAATGATGATGGAATTTTTTTCTCTTTTTGTGTTTTTCTTTGATTTTGGGTCACCGTGCTTTGGTGGGAAATGGCCGACATGTAAAAAGAAAAAAAAAGGACATAATTTCCAAGGGAAAGTAGAAAAGAATTCTTCCTCCTTAAGGCATGTGTGTCGTGAGAGGTGACTAAAATGCCAGGAGCAAGGGGCTGGTAACTCCGTCTCCTGTATAAATTACTAAATTTAAAAAGAAAAACTTTTGTTTTTCATTTTAGGCTACCCTGCCTTGATGGGATATGGCCAGTTCATTAAAATAAAAAAGACAAATGTCATGACAACTAGGAAAATGATGGGGTGGATAATGAGAACTTTCAAAACAAGGGAAAATTGTTCCAGTAGTGACTCTATGCTTGTCTTCTCTTGCTTATGAGCATTGTTTAATGCTGATGGCTCCATTTAAGGCAGGAGAGATGTCGAAGCTGAAACTGATAGAGATAATTTATGGCCCTCATAGAATCAGACAAATCAGTTAAATTACTGAGAAGCCCTCAAGGTCCTAAATATGTATTCACTGCAGGGAAGGAGAGATATATACATGATAATGTGTACATGGAAGACATTTGAGGGCCTGGTCTCAAATTTGCATGCAGCCATGATGCCATACTGGAATGAAAACTATTGAGAAACTATAAAATAAAACCAGTGAAAATAAGGGGAGCCATGAGCACAATAAGACAACAATGAATCAACAAGTTTGGGTCCAGACTGATCAACTTCTTACCAGAAGATATCAAAAACACTACATAGAATTCTTCAAGAGTAAGCATACACAATACAGTGGACCCCCGGTTAACGATATTTTTTCACTCCAGAAGTATGTTCAGGTGCCAGTACTGACCGAATTTATTCCCATAAGAAATATTGTGAAGTAGATTAGTCCATTTCAGACCCCCAAACATACACGTACAAACGCACTTACATAAATACACTTACATAATTGGTCGCATTCGGAGGTAATCGTTATGCGGGGGTCCACTGTACTTAAGAGGAATTAATAGGATTGATGGACAGTTTGGGAGACTGGAAACAGTTACTCCAGGGCACAGTTGGAAGTTAAAGACACTGATGAACATTCTGTATTTCGATTTTTACGTTTCTGTGAATTTAAACCTGATGTAAATGGAGGTCAGACTTTTGAAATATATTTTTGGAAACTCTGTCTTTAAAATATTTAACTTCTGATTTGCAGTATCACTGCCAGCCTTCTTGGTGGGTACAGTGATATACCACTGTCAAATGTGAGATGAAAACTATTAATTTAAATTATATTAACCCAATTTTTCCCAAATCCTTGAGAGTAGGATTTTGATCAAAATAACATGCTGTGAAAAGCATTTTGATGATATAATTACCCGTCTATAGTATTTATTGCCATCATTCAGAAGAATTCCTTTTGCAAGGGTTTTGGGCAGTGAGAGCAGAGCAAAGTTCTGGTTGTCCCTAACTCACTACTACCCCAGCAAATTACTACTAATGACAATGCAGAAATATGATACAATATTTAACCAGGTTTTTATCAGATTCACGAATTTGGATTCATTAGCTTCTTAGAAAATTTTTGAGAGCTTACTTTTCAGTCACCTAAGTGATGGTCAGTGAAAGTGTTCATTTTAGGGGTCATGAGAGTGAAAGAGTTAAGAATCATAATAGAGTTTATATTGCAAACCCAGAAACAAATAAAGGGAGGTGGTTGACTGACCACTTGGGTGCTGCTATGGTTGCTACCTGGCAGTACCCTGTGTGATGTCAGCACACCCAATGTAGGGGGCTGCTTAGCTGGTCGAGTTAGTGTCGTGTGAAGGCATGGTCAAGTTAGTGTCATGTGAACACATAGTCGAGTTAGTGTCGTGTGAGGACACGGTCGAGGTAGTGTCGTGTGAAGACACGGTTGAGGTAGTGTCGTGTGAAGACACAGTCGAGGTAGTGTCATGTGAAGACAGGGTCGAGGTAGTGTCGTGTGAAGACACGGTCGAGGTAGTGTCATGTGAAGACACAGTCGAGGTAGTGTCATGTGAAGACACGGTCGAGGTAGTGTCGTGTGAAGACATGGTCAAGGTAGTGTTGTGTGAAGACACGGTCGAGGTAGTGTCGTATGAAGAGACAAAGTAGTGTTAATGGTGTCGTGTGTGAGTTTGTCAGTGATAACTCAGGTGAAGGATGTAACACAAATCATATGCCATTATCAAGGTATCATGTAACCCTGTACAAAAGGTAGTGTCTTATGACACAGAGAAGGAATATCATGACACAGAGAACAGGGTGTCGAGTGACAGAGGAAGCATGTTATGACGCAGAGAACAGGGTGTCGTGTGACATGGAGAGAAGGCGTGTCGAGTAACAGAGAAAAGGGTGTCTTGTGACATGGAGAGCAAGAGCATCGTAACAGAGACAAGGGTGTCTTATGACACGGAGTAATAGGAGTGTCACGAGACTTAGGGAAAGGTAGTGTCTTGTGGCACGGGGTAGGTAGGGTCATGACTACATTGTTAGTGTAATGTGATATTAATGTCAAAGAATATATTCTTATTTTATTAAGTTTTTGTGTAAATAAAAAAATACTCTTTTATGTTAAAGAATAATTTTACTAGTAAAGATTATAAAGTATTGTATGTGTTTTTGTACTCTGGACTATGTTGCATGTTGCAGGTTTGGTAATGGGCGAGTTTATTAATTATACTATAAACCTATTAGTTTAGCTTTCCCTAGAAGCTTCATTGCCAAATTTGTAATATTGTAATAGTTTATAATAAAGTTTTCTGGTAACAGTAGCTTTCTTGGCTATATTCATCTCCACACTCTTAAATGCTACAAATAACTAACAGAATGAGAGGTAAGTTATACTGTATTATTTTCCCCCCATCTGTAGCACAACAATAAAAAATGTTAGTAATAAGTTTTGAGTTGTTTGGAACATAACCATAACCCTATTGTCTCCCACATGTTCTTCACATCATAACACTATTTTAATGTTACATGCTGAGTTTTCAGTTAGTTAATCCTGCATTACAAAAGGGTTTACTGTGCCTTGATTTGCAGCATTTTCTAAAAAATTCAGTTAATAACTTTAAATTGATAACTTTAAATTTTTGTTTTTATGCAAAAAATTTTTTGAGATAAATACAGCAACTGAAAATTTAAGGAAAAGTATAACTGTTTCTTAGTTGATCACATTGACTTTGTTACATCGTTGTTGAAAAGTGTTTGAATGCAGATACAGTATATGTTAAAGTTAATTGACATAATTATATTAAAATATTTTGAGTTGTCATAATATTTTTTGGGTTCTTTCTAACATAGTTTCTAAAAAAATTATGTGAATGTTTCTGTTGCTGTTTTGCTCTACATTTATGTAGTTATTTTAGGTACTGTGAAAGCACAGTGTTTTATTTCTCTTGGTTTAAAGTGACCAAGAATTATTTGAATAATTTCCTCTTTTCTTCAGCAGCTTTTTGGTCCCTTGATTTTGGGTGATCATCAAAGTGGCTTCAGCTGTGACACTGAGTCCTTCCTCCGTGACACTGAGCAACTTGTCACTTCTCTTCAGGCTCGAGTTGATATGAACAAAGGCATTCCACCAGGCCTCAGGGGTTCATCCTTTGAATCGCATGACTCTGGAGGAGATTCTGACTTGGATACCAGCACTTCTTATCCAATCAATGATGATGATGACAGACTTGTGAAAAGACTTGGCTCCCAGCTGAAGACTAAACTCAAGCTTGGTGGCATTGATGGCTCACTAAGTCTCCTCCAATAACAACTAGTCCCCGAAAACCAGATCCATTAGCACTGGAAACTAGACTCAAGCTAACAAATCATTTCAAGAGGGAGAGGTCTATAGTGTCAGACAGTGGGTATGATGTCTATACTGCAGGCAAGGAAGAGAACAGCTTGCAGTCTGATAGCAGTAGTGAAACAAGTGAACCAGTTAAAGATAGCCGCAAATCCATCGACAATAACCCTCCCCTCAAGTTCAATAGAGCATTTAGGTACAGTAACCCTAACACTGTAGCCCATTGTACAGGATGATCTAGTAGCTTGGTATTAAGAGTGATAAGTGCAGTATTGTAATAATTTAAGGAAAATTAAAACCATAGTAGCTTTGTAATTGTCTAGTGATACAATTTTAATTTAGTTTGATATCACCCAAGTGATATCAAACTAAATTACAAGTTTAATACTTGCCTGTGTTTATAATTAAAATAGTATTGGTATAGTAACTTGACTATCTATCTTGTGGAACAAATTGAACTATAGTCAGTTATAGTGTTGCTACAGTAGCTGTCATCTGCTTATGAAATGGCTTGAACTTTAGTCATTTATATTATACATAGTTTCAGGATACTGAGTATTTAATGATTCACTCAACTCTTATAATTTACAATGACCAAATTCTAATTGTGAGTTCACTTTTGCACCTGCCTTATACAGTAGTCCCCCCAGTATCTACAGGCAATACGTTCCAGACCTACCGCAGATAGTGGTAGTGAACCCTTTATATAAGACATTTTTCGTTTACATACATATCTATAATAAAGTTTAATTGATAGATTACACATAATAAGACATTACCAAAGTTAACCCTCTAACTTTATTCTGTGTACTTACCTATTTGTGGTTGCAGGGGTTGAGTCATAGCTCCTGTCCCTGCCTCTTCACTGATTGCAACTAGGTCCTCTCTCTCCCTGCTCCATGAGCTTTATCAAACCTTGTCTTAAAGCTATGTATGGCACCTGTGTATTAGTACACAGGTGCTGGTACTGTGCCTGACATACTAGTGTGTATCATTTTTCATAACCACAAATCTGCCACCTGCCAATATTTTTTACCTCAGGACAATTCTTTAGGTCTTTCATCTATTCATACATTTGAAAAAATCTAAGGCCATTAGGGTCCACACACTGTATCATGGTTAACTATTCAGGAAATGACTATGTTTGACGTACTAGTATGCCTCACTATCAAAAGTAAAGGAAGGAACTGGAGTTGTTGTTCCACCACCAGCTTCCCTACCAGCAAACAGGGTGTACAGGTGGCTCAAAGATGACTTATTCAGTCCAAATTTATTACAATTTCTTCATACTAACAGTGGAATTAAGCCACAAAGCACACTAGGTATATTTAACTCAGGATAACCCAATCAAGTCAAACAGTGTGAACAATCTCCAAGTTTTGATGAGTATTACACTCTTAATCCTTTCAGGGTCGAGACCCCTGATCTCAGACTTGCTCTCAGGGTAGAAAAATTTAAAAAAAAAAATATTTTGTGAAATGATAGGGAATCTTTTTCTGAAGGTAGTGAAACCAAAGGTATGAAATTTGATGGAAAATTTGTAGAATGACACTCTTGCAAAATTAAGAGGTTTCAGTGATATTTACACATTAGAGATTTTGCCCAATTTTTGCCCTATTTTTGGCCAATTCCATTGTTCCAATTGACAAAACTCATAGCTATTTTGCTAATACAGTGGACCCTCAACCAACAATATTAATCCGTTCCTGAGAGCTCATTGTTAATCGAAATTATCGTTAGTCGAGTTAATTTTCCCCATAAGAAATGTAATGGAAATCAAATTAATCCGTGCAAGACACCCAAAAGTATTGAAAAAAAAAAATTTTACCACATGAAATATTAATTTTAATACACACAAACTGAAGAAGACATGTACAATTACATGACACTTACCTTTATTGAAGATCTGGTGATGATTGATGGGATGGGAGGAGGGAGACTGTGGATGGTGTTAGTGTTTAGAAGGTGAATCCCCTTCCATTAGGACTTGAGGTATCAAGTCCTTTTCTGGGGTTACTTCCCTTCTTCTTTTAATGCCACTAGGACCAGCTTGAGAGTCACTGGACCTCTGTTGCACAACATATCTGTCCATAGAGGCCTGTACCTCCTGTTCCTTTATTTTTTTTTTTTTTTTTTTTTTTTTTTTTTTTTTTTCAACAAGTCGGCCGTCTCCCACCGAGGCAGGGTGACCCAAAAAAGAAAGAAAATCCCCAAAAAGAAAATACTTTCAATCATCATTCAACACTTTCACCACACTCGCACATTATCACTGTTTTTGCAGAGGTGCTCAGAATACAACAGTCTAGAAGCATACACATATAAAGATACACAACATATCCCTCCAAACTGCCAATATCCCAAACCCCCTTTAAAGTGCAGGCATTGTACTTCCCATTTCCAGGACTCAAGTCCGACTATATGAAAATAACCAGTTTCCCTGAATCCCTTCACTAAATATTACCCTGCTCACACTCCAACAGATCGTCAGGTCCCAAGTACCATTCGTCTCCATTCACTCCTATCTAACACGCTCACGCACGCTTGCTGGAAGTCCAAGCCCCTCGCCCACAAAACCTCCTTTACCCCCTCTCTCCAACCCATTCGAGGACGACTCCTACCCCGCCTTCCTTCCCCTATAGATTTATATGCTTTCCATGTCATTCTACTTTGATCCATTCTCTCTAAATGACCAAACCACCTCAACAACCCCTCTTCTGCCCTCTGACTAATGCTTTTATTAACTCCACACCTTCTCCTAATTTCCACACTCTGAATTTTCTGCATAATATTTACACCACACATTGCCCTTAGACAGGACATCTCCACTGCCTCCAACCGCCTCCTCGCTGCTGCATTCACAACCCAAGCTTCACACCCATAAAGATTGTTGGTACTACTATACTTTCATACATTCCCTTCTTTGCCTCCATAGATAACGTTTTTTTTGTCTCCACATATACCTTAATGTGCCACTCTCCTTTTTTCCCTCATCAATTCTATGATTAACCTCATCCTTCATAAATCCATCCGCCGACACATCAACTCCCTAGTATCTGAAAACATTCACTTCTTCCGTACTCCTCCTCCCCAATTTGATATTCATTTTTTCTTTATCTAAATCATTTGATACCCTCATCACCTTTCTCTTTTCTATGTTCATTTTCTATGTTCACTTTCAACTCTCTACCTTTATACTCACTCCCAAACTCGTCCACTAACCTTTGCAATTTTTCTTTAGAATCTCCCATAAGCCCAGTATCATCAGCAAAAAGCAACTGTCAAATCTCATTTTATATTTGATTCCCCATAATTTAATCCCACCCCTCTCCCGAACACCCTAGCATTTACTTCTTTTACAACCCCATCTATAAATACATATATACATGTATATGTATATTAAATAACCATGGTGACATTACACATCCCTGTCTAAGACCTACTTTTACCGGGAAGTAGTCTCCCTCTCTTCTACACACCCTAACCTGAGCCTCACTGTCCTCATGAAAACTCTTTACAGCATTTAGTAACTTACCACCTATTCCATATACAGTGGACCCCCGCATAACGATCACCTCCGAATGCGACCAATTATGTAAGTGTATTTATGTAAGTGCGTTTGTACGTGTATGTTTGGGGGTCTAAAATGGACTAATCTACTTCACAATATTCCTTATGGGAATAAATTCGGTCAGTACTGGCACCTGAACATACTTCTGGAGTGAAAAAATATCGTTAACCGGGGGTCCACTGTACTTGCAACATCTGCCACATTGCTCCCCTATCCACTCTATCATATGTCTATTCTAAATCCAAAAATGCAATAAAAACTTTCCTATCTTTATCTAAATACTCTTCACATATATGTTTCAATGTAAACACTTGATCTACACATCCCCTACCCACTCTGAAACCTTCCTCATCCGCAATCCTACATTCTGTCTTACCTCTAATTCTTTCAGTAATAACCCTACCATACACTTTCCCTGGTATACTCAGTAAACATATTCCTCTATAATTTTTACAATCTCTTGTTCCCCTTCCCTTTATATAAAGGGACTATACATGCTCTCTGCCAATCCCTAGGTACCGTCCCCTCTTTCATACATTTATTAAACAAAAGTACCAACCACTGCAACACTATATCCCCCCCTGCTTTTAACATTTCTGTCATGATCCCATCAGTTCCAGCTGCTTTACCCCCTTTCATTCTACGTAATGCCTCACGCACCTCCCCCACACTCACATCCTGGTTCTTCATTCCTAAAAGATGGTATACCTCCCTGGCCAGTGCATGAAATTACAGCCTTCCTTTCTTCGTCGACATTTAAAAGTTCCTCAAAATATTCTCGCCATCTATCCAAAACCTCCTTCTCCCCATCTACTAACTCCCCTACTCTGTTTTTAACTGACAAATCCATTTGTTCCCTAGGCTTTCTTAACGTGTTTAACTCACTCCAAAAAAATTTCTTATTTTCATTAAAATTTCTTGACAGTGCCTCTCCCACTATCATCTGCTCTCCTTTTGCACTCTCCACTCTCTTCACCTTTCTTTTACTCTTCATATGCTCTACTCTTCTTATAACGCTTCTGCTTTGTAAAAACCTCTCATAAGCTAACTTTTTCTCTTGTATCACACCCTTCATCATTCCACCAATCACTCCTCTTTCCTCCTGCACCCACCCTCCTATAACCACAAACTTCAGTCCCACATTCTAATACTGCATTTGAAAACTATTCCAACCCTCTTCAACCCCCTTCACTACTCATACTTGCACCAGTCCACCTTTCTGCCAATAGTTGCTTATATCTCACTCGAACTTTCTCCAGGCTGACCAGGGAATTTTCACACAGGAGGCACAAGTTCAAATTTCTTTTCAGTTAGGTAATTTTTACTTTGGGGGGAAAAATGCAGGGTGTAACCCAGTCATAGAAAAAGTCCCTAGTGACCCATGCCTTTACTGTTTGCCCTACAGCACCCCAAAAATTTTCTTGAGGTTTTTTTCCCTGAACGGTCTGGAGTTTCGAGGTACACTAATAAAGGTTCACTTTGCAATACCAGTAGTTTGGGAAACACATCAACAAAGAAAGGGCCTTCTTTCATGGGTTAGTCCTGGGGTGTTTTTCCTCCTGGTAATGTAGGCCCCTGCTTGGATTTCTTCCAAACAGGCCTGTTTCCCCAAAAATTAAACACTTTTT